GTCCTAGTCACTTTGGACGCGTGGCTCCGCTTCTGCACCCTTCCCAGACCCTAGGACAGACCCCTTCCCCAACCTCATTTTCCTTCAGATCCCTGGGACCCTGGCCTGACTGCCCAGGACCTGCTTTTCCGGGGAGGTCCTAAGTTCCGGAGGCAGCCACGAGCTGTGTTGGATGTTACTGAACAGGTAAGTGGCCCCGCTGGAATGAACAGTGCTTCGTGTCTGGGGCTATGCTTAGTGACCTAGCCTTCTTTCCTCCTGCAGCTCAGCCGGTTCCTGTGGGACCATGGAGACATAGCCTATGCACCCCTGGGGAAGCTGATGCTAGAGAATTTCAAACTGGAGGGAGCACGGGTGAGTAACCCTGGCCAGGCAGGAGAGGGCCTCCCACTTTATGTTGGGGTGAGCCCTAAGGTGTACGAGCTTGATGAGGCATTTCCACACAGGGCCGCTCTAAGAAGAAGACAGTGGTCAGTGTGAAGAGGCTGCTCGAGGACCTCGGTGGACACCAGCCCTGGGGGCAAGTGGCTAGTGAGAAAGGATGGGGCGGGTAGGCCTAGCTGGTGGTGGGGATGTGGAAGGAACTGGGACATGGGTCCAGGTTTTCATCATATTGCTCCCTATCACATACAGCAATGAGCCATATTTACACAGAATTCCCAATTCTACTAGCCTAAGGGGAAAGAGGAACTTAAATTCATGGGTTGCAGGCATGGCTGTATCCAGGTTTTCAAATGTTTGAAATCGAGCTGTGTCTTTTTATTTTCTCATCTTGCCTCTGCCTGGCTTAATTCCTAGAAAGTTTCCAAGTGCAGCAAGATGGCTTATGATTCCAAGGAAAGAGCTGGTGTCTTTTCCTGAGGCATCAATAGAAGTCCTGGGAAGGATGTCACTGGCTTGGCTTGGGTGTGGTGCCCATCTGTGAGCCAATCACTGTGGCCAGGGGTGGGTCATGTGACTACCCCTGGAGTATGGGAATAGGGCGGGGTGGTCTCCTAAAGGAAGAAATTCTAGACAGATTAAAAAGGTGTCTACTGCACCTGGCCTTTCTAGGGATGGTACCCAGTTTTCATCCCCATCACTGCCACAGCCTGACCCTCTTGCCATCCTCTTGTCCCCAGGTGTCCCTGGGCTTACCTCAGCCACCGACAGCGCCGGTTCTCCATCCTCGGGGGCCCGATCCTAGGCAAGTCAGTGGCGAACCTCCTGGGAGAGCTGCTGCACGAGGAGCTGGTGATGCGGTGGGAGCAGCTGCTCCTGGACGATGCTTTTACCGGAGGTGCACTGGCCTGGCTTCCCGGAAGGACGCCCCAGGTTGGGCAGCTGGTCTACCCTTCAGGAGGTGCCTTGGACAGGCTGTGTATCCTTTATTGCTGCACAGGATCACAGCTAATTCCTTCTGGTGGAGGAGGTGCTCTTGGCACCCTCTAGGGGGAGGGCAGGGCTGGGCGTGGGCTTGCAGTGACCAGAGCTCCCGTACTTAATGAGAAGTGCAGATTTCCAAGAGGTCCGTCAGACCCCAGGTGGTGACCCTCGGATTCTTGGGGATCCTGGCCACATCCAGCTCCGGGGTCCTGTCCGGCAGGTGGTGACCCACACCGTACAGGGAGAATGTAAGGCCCTTAGACACCTCCTTCCCCTGCTGACTGACCTACTCCCTGATCCTGACCCTCTCCATCCCCTCTTTAGCTCTGCTGGCTGTCCGCTCTGACTACCACTGTGCCCTGTGGAAGGTCAGTAAGCAGGGGATACCAGCCCCTCTCCAAGTGCTGCGGGTCGAGAAGGGGGCCACAGGGATCAGCCTCAGGTGAGGGGGCTGAATCAGGCTGGTCGGCAGGGAGACAGGCACGGGAGAAGGGGGCAGCCCAACACTAATCACATTTGTGCCCTGTAGCCCTCACCTGCCTGGGGAGCTGGCTGTCTGTAGCCGTTCGGGAGCCATCTGTCTGTGGACTGCCCAAGATGGGTAATGCTACTTTCTCAAAAAACCCTCCATCCCCGTAAATGTCTCCCTGAACTATAGCCCACATTCCCCACACAATATGTTCCCCACCCACCAACCCCCGCTCTTAGCTGGCCTATCTCCTCAAGGCTTCGGCAAATCTACAAGGATCCTGAGACCCTTGTGTTTCGGGACCCCTCTCCCTGGCGTTGGGCAGACTTCACCGCCCACCCTCGGGTACTGACTGTGGGTGACCGCACCGGAGTGAAAATGATTGACACTCAGGTGAGATGGGGGACCGTCACCGGCCCAGCATCCTAGGATGGGGCTTGCAAGGGGGACCTCCCCCAGGGTATGAAAAGCAGCAGGGCCAGTGAGTCCAACAGACTGATGGGGCTGATGCCCTAGACCTTGGACTGTAGGAGGGTCGACCTAGCTTTCTCCCCCAGGGCCCGCCAGGCTGTGGCTTGCTCCTTTTTCGTGGTGGGGCGGAAGCAGCGTGTCAGAAAGGGGAACGTGTCCTGCTAACCCAGTACCTGGGAGAGTGTGGCCCCGAGTCTCTGCAGCCCACACTCCATCTCATCTGTACCCAGGTGAGTGACACATTCCCCCTCCTATCCCTCATGCACTGTCACGGCTGGTTACTAGAGGGTCCTGGGGCAACTGCAGGCAAAATAAGAATCACAAACCCTGATGAGTCTGTGGCTGAAATGGCCTCACAGAGGGATGGTTACATCTGAGCAGGGCTTTGAGGTGCCACTGGGGATGGACCACGTGAGGAGGAAAGGCATGAGGCAGGGAGCAGTCTTTGCAAAGCTGGACAATTATCTGTGCTCGGGAAAGGGGAGGAGGTCTGAGGGCCCCCACCTCACCCCCCAGGACCCCAGGGTGTTAGTAGGTGTATCTCAAGCATAGGTTCCAGGGTCCAGTGAGTTAGAGGAATGCTGGGTGAAAGGTGGGCTTTTTGTGATGAGACACCTCTTCGCCTCCCCCAAGAGCCCTTCTCCCAGTTGTGGCCTTTGGGATGAGACAGCGCCACCCACTTGGAAAACATCTGTGTGGGGCCGGGCAGATGAAGGTGGAGAGGTGCTCAGGGCCGGTCGCAGAATGAGTGACCACTCGGGGGTTTGCACTTGTCCCGAGAGCCATATGGGGCCACCCAGAGAGACTTATCGAATATGTCTCCCACATCTCGGCCTCATCTCTTCTGTCCCCCAGTTCTCGCTCTACCTGGTAGATGAGCGCCTCCCCTTAGTGCCCATGCTGAAATGGGACCACGGCCTCCCCTCCGCGCCCCTGCTGGCCCAGCTGCTCCCTCCACTGCGCCCGGGCTGCCCGAGGCCACTGCTCCTGGGAGGCCAGGGCGGCCAACTGCAGCTGCTGCACATCACGGGTGAGGATCCGGGCAAGGGCAGGGGCATGTGGAGAGAGGGGCAGGGCTGGGGCCTGGACAATGCCTCAGCTGTCTGTCCTTCCTCCAGGGGAGGGGACCTCCACACCCCGGCTGGCAGGGCCCCCCCAGTCTCTCCCTTCCAGGAGCAACTCCCTCTCCGCATTCCCCCTGCTGGAGCCCAGGAGTCAGCAGCGGCTGCAGGAGCGTCTGCAAGCACCAACCATAGGTGCGCTGGGGTAAAGGAGTGAGGTTGGGGGGCTGTGCCCCACCAGGCCTTGGGGTCACCGTCGTTGCTGTCTCCAGGTCTGGCTACTGCCATCTCACCCTCTGCCTCCACACCAGTCCTGTCGCTCTTCCAACTCTCAGCAGCTGGAGATGTCTTCCACCAGCGCCTCCACCTCCGGGAAGACACCAGTGACCCTGGGCCCGACGCCCACGCCCCCATGGCTTCCTGGAGCCCCCAGGACACTGCTTGCTGCCGCAGGTGGCTGAAGGCCTTGCTGGAAGAGCCTCCAGCTCCCCCTGTGTGGGCCGTGCCCACCTTTTCCTACCGCCGTCTGCTGGGCTTCAAGGAGCAGCAGAAGGTTGAGGGGAAGGTGCCAGAGGGTCTCCGGACGGCCATGGCCAAAGGGCAGCTACTGCAGCAGAGGGACCTGGGCTCGCTCCCCACCGCAGAGCCGCCCCCTGCCGCTGAGCCGGGGCCTGAGGATGAGCTCAGTGAACGGCTGGAGGCAGCCTGGGAAGGCCCAGCGGCTGCCTGGTGGGAGCAGAGGCGGGGCAGAGGCTCAGGGCCCGGGAAACAGCCCAAGCGGCACAAGCGCCGGACACAGCTATCCAGTACCTTCTCCTCGCTCAGCGGCCGCCTGGACTTCTCAGACGCCCCCAGCCCCCATCACAGCCCAGAACGGACATCCCCTGTGTCCAGGCCTCAGCCCCCGGTGACCCCACCCTCCCAGGAGTTGACCCAGGAGCCGTGGGCCCGAGGCGTCCCCTCAGAGCGTCAACAGACCCTCCGTGACTATATGGCCAAGCTACCGCTTCAGGGGGACTTCCCAGAAAGTGCCTCCGCTCCCCTATCCCAGACCTCAAGCATTCAGGCCACCCCCTCCAAGCAGCAGGCCCTCCGCGACTGCACAGCCAAGCTATCACTCCAAAGGGACACCCCGGGAAGTGCCACCGTGCCCTCCTCCCAGACCTCCAGCATGCGGGCCACCCCCTCTAGGCAGCTGGTGCCTGTCCTCTGTGGTTCTCAGCCACACCGGAAGAAGCCCCGCATGGGCTTCTGAAGACCCAGGAAAGCTGCCCCTCCACCTTTGGGGAGCCCTTGGTCCTGGAATAGCCATATTTTCTGTGACTGGAACTTAGGGAATAAAGAGGAAACAGTCCCAGCATGCAGACCTTTCTGCTTCCTGGAGGCCCCTGTGACTGGGAGACATCCAAAAGTGATTTGAAGCCAGGTCGGGATAGGAAAAACAATAGTAATTTCTGCTGTTGCCTGAAGATACTTCCAAAGGCACATGGATGGGGCCCAAGGGGTCCTGTCCTGATGCCCTTCAGGGGGCAGTGCTGTGCTTGAAGCAGGGCTCCCGTCAGGCTGCGGGCTCTCCTTCACGTGAGCCGTGTCCCCTGGTGATGTTGGGTAACTGCCAGCTCACTGTGGTCAGTGACAGTGAAGCAAGACACTGAGAAGCGGCTGGTGCCTAGCGGTGCTCAGTGGGCATCAGCAGCTGCTGTGGGCTAGTTTGTGTGTGTGAAGCAATTTCTGCCATGATCTGATGTTTTGTTGAGGCAGATGATTTGGAACCTCACTTAGGGATTGAATAAACTTGTCACCTGAGTGTGGTTTTGAATGATTAAAGTTTCTTAGACTAGAAGGCATCCACTTAAGTAGCTTCTGATGTCTAAAGCATAAAGTTCACTTCCTCAGAGTTCTGTAGCTCTGCTGGGAGGTTCTGCTCTCCTGAGAGGAAAACAGCCACTTGAAATTTCACAGGACACCAGGATCTGATATAGATTTCAAACCACACATAAGAGGAATGGTCTTATTTCAGGGTACATGATGAAATGGATCGTATATGACTTGTGCGGATGTTAAATAATGCAGTAACACATCGTCTCACATGGATACTAAAATGTTTATAATGTTCAAATGAGGCATTATGGTTACACAATTTGCCCCACAAGTAATCGGGGGAATGTGTTACGCCTTAGAATAAGGAACACAGTGCCGCCCTGCACTTGCAGAAGCTGACAGCGCAGGGGAGATAAATCAGGTGATGGGCACGCGTCGCAGCTAAGGCCCCAGAGCACTCTCGGGAACTGCAGGAAGGAAGGGGAGCCCAGCCCAGGGGGTGACCTGTACTGAGCACCAGCTTCCTACTAGTCCAAGGGCAGAGGGGCCACCTTGGTTCAGTCCAAGCCAAATTCAATGTCCTCCCGGTCTCCTGCCTTGGTCTCTGAGGGCTCTTTCTCAGACCTCACTCCATCCTTTTCAGTGCTGTTCCCTAAAAAGTAAGAAAAGAAGGTGACTTGGTATTCTGGAGAAGTGTCACCCCTCACCTTCCCGCAGGTAGGCCTTAGTCAACCACGCAAGCTGGTGGGAGAGAAACCTGGCTACTGAGGATCGTCAGAGAAGAGCAGGAAAGGCCTGTTCAACAGACATCCTGATTCAGGTCCCCAAGGCAACCGATGAACAAATACCTGCCAATCTGCTTGAATCGGGAAGCACTAGCCAGCTTCCCCCACAAATGCATCTCCTTGGTCACGTGCTCGGGCCCCCAGCACCAGGCCAGTCTGATAAGTCAGTCTGTAGCTTCCTTTATCCCACCCAGCCAGCCGCTCTGGACACTGTCCCTGCCTGGTGAACCTCCCTTCCCTGGTGGCAGTGTCTTGCGTGTCATTCATCCTGATCCTGGCCCTTCACTGTGGAGGGACCATACCATCAGGCTTGCTGTCACCCTCGTTTTGTCCCACGTTTCAAGTTGTGGTGTCACCAGTCCCCTCCCTCTCTCAGAAGCCTTGGTCTGGAAAGGCCGAGGATCCGAATGGTGAGGAAGGGGTGAAAATACAGTCTCCCCAGCCCCATCTA